CAGGGCGTACAGGACGGAAGGCACGAATACTGATAAAGAGCTCCCCTCAGTAAGGCATGTTAGGTTATGGCGCAACATTGGTCCTTTCGAGGCTGCAGCATCTTAAAGCTGGATCCCTAAAGCCCTTGAAACCCCCAGAATGATTCAATTTCAAAGTTTAAACATACAAACTCTACAAAGCCCAAAGCCCTGCATGCCCACACCCCTAAAGCCCGATCCGCTTCTCACAATGCGCCCCTAAACCCTAAACACTCGCACCGAGCTTAGCATGTCAGGTCTCCCTGGACAACATCACCTGGTGGACTATCATCGAGGTGTCTGGCAACCAGGAGCAAGTTCAAGGTTTCCAGGTGCTTTGGGGTTTAGGGGTTTAGGGGTTTGGTGGTTTATGGCTTTAGGGTTTAGGGTTTTTCAGGATTAGGGGTTTAGGGCTTATGGCTTTAGGGTTTAGGGTTTATAACGAATAGGGGTTTAGGGCTTACGGCTTTAGGGTTTAGGGCTTATAAGGTTTAGGGGTTTAGGGTTTAGGGCTTTGGGTTGAAGGTTGTTAGGGCTTGAGAGCATCGGGCAAGTAGGGTTCCAGAGACTACGGTTGACTATTGACAAGACGCTGTTCATTGAACTGGCCGCCGTCATGGTGTACATTATTGCACACGCTGGCTTAGTCTGCAGTCTCAAAATGGCTTCATGCCTAGGACACCTCGTAAGTCCTTCCAAAGAATGCGTGGAGCCAAGTTCTCCTGAAAGCAGCCATTTGCAAATTGAACTCTAAAGGCTACCTTAAGCCGCGCAAAACCTTTCTTCTTAAGGACAGATGTAGGGAAACTTTTATCAGTTTGGAGCCTGAAAAGGCAGGGTTTTCAATGCTGAGCTTCAAGCGCGAAAGCAGGACACCTACACCTGGCACCAGGTCCTGATGCTGGCTTTCGAGTTCTACAGGGTTTCGGATTACAAGTTTAGGCCTTTGTACTGGCGTTACTATGGAATAGCCATTCAATAGTAATATGCTCCCTCAAAGTCTTCCACTATTATCCTAGACGCAGATACATGATTGTTAGGTAGTTTGGACCCCTTCAAGTAAGATGAGATAAACCCGCTCTAGACGGTACGAGCTCTCACGGAACCCTTGAACATTATAGAGGTACTTTGAACTTAAAAACCCGAGACGCTAGAGGTTTGGTGAGGACTTTGCAGCTTGGACGTTTCTGAATCGTCATCGGCATAGGGTTATTACAAGAGTGCTGTAGGGTTACTTTGCGGTCAATACACGATCACTATAGGATCATCATAAGGTCGTCAGGGAATGAGTAGGGCCGTAGGTAGCCTCAATTTGAAACAGGCATCAGCTGTCCCTCCGCTCAAACAGTAAGGGGTTCTTTGTTAGGAATTTAGTTTCCAATTTAAGTTGCCATTATAGGGATTCGAATCAAAATCTACGGTTTCCTTATTATGGTAAATTCAAGTAAAACCGTTAACAAGACCCCAGAGTAACTAGTGCAAATTATTCCTCGAGTACTGCCAAGTCAGAGCCTTTAGCTTGTCTTGGAAAGTGTACTGTATTCAAGCAATAACCACAACTACCGCCCCTCACTTTCGTATATCAGTGTACAGTTTTCAATCCCCTACGACTACGAGTACGCGGGCCATGAATGTTTAAGACAGTGTTGAACACCTTGCACCAGGGCCTTGGAGGGTTTGTCTGTTGCGGCTTTCGCAACCCGGTTTAGGGTTTAGGGTTTTGAGAAGCATCGATGCGGAAATGCCCACGGGCAATTTGACACCCCGAGCCCCTGTACCCTCGAGCCCAAGAAGCCAAGAGATAGCTGGGAAGCCCCAGGCCAAAAGCTAAAGCCGTATCCCTAAAGCCCAAGACCCCAAACAACAACTACTAACTACAATAAGATCCCTTTTGTGGTCCCTATTAGACGATCCTCCAAACCCTATACAGTTATCCGTTCACAAACCCCGAGTCTTCATTTCCAGGCCTTCTTCGGGGCAAACTACCTGCAGCTGCGCATGACGCGTGCTGCGGCGACGAGAGGCTGCCGGAGGGCTGTTCGCAGGGCTGCGAAGATTTCGGGGTTCAGGGCTTAGGGAAGTTTAATGACTATCCAGGGAGCCAAAATCCCCGAATCCTAAGTCCTAAACCCTACGCCACGCCATGTGTCATTGCATTTTGTCCTTATGCTTGGTTCCCAAGTAGTTAATGGAGAACCCTCCAAGACAAGGCTGTGACGTGGGTTCCATGGGTAGGATGGAAATGCAGCTGCTCCTTGACAGACCTGCTGCGACGAGACCGTAGGTATGGCTGTGGTCGTCATTGTGAGACCCATGCCGTAAACCCATCCAGCCTGACTCCACCCCAGAATTACCCCTGCTTCACGACTTCTCAAACCTGCCCACTTTTGCCCTACAAATCCAGGAGCCTTTTTGACACATCGACACAGTCAAGCAGCATGTTTGGACCTGAACCCTACGTTCACCCTGAATAACCTGCCGTTTTAGGGTTCCTCATTATGAGTTCCTTATATAAGTCCTTTAAAAGGCAGGTTATTCCGGGTTAAGGTAAAGCCTACACCGGTACACCTGATGAGCCTGAAGAGGTCCTGGCATCGACGAGGGCAAGCCGGTGTTCTCTATCTATGTGACTTGGCATTGAGCTTTAGAGGATTAGGTTTAGGGATTATGGTTCAGAGTGTAGTAGTCTAGGGTTCAGGGGCATTGGGCATTAGAGGATTGCGCTTTAGTTTCCTTGGTTGGCTGACGTTGCCAAGCTATGATGACGTGGGACTGTGGGAGGCTTGCTTAACCTGTTTAAGATTTCCTTCGTTTTGATTGGTCATGAGGGTTCTCAATACAGAGCCGACTAAGAAACGGGAATTCTTAATCGTGTTGCTACATTTGATGTGACACGGGGTTAGGGATTTCGGGCTCTGGTCTTGGGTATCCGAAGATGCGTACTTTGTGGAACTCCATTGCCGCTGCGTATTGATGCATGCCAGGTGAAGTTCGGAGTAGGGCCCAGGTGGTGTAGGCATCACGCAGACAAGAGACCTGGAACTATGGATCCCAACCCTAAACTCTATACCCGAACCCTCACCCGACTTGTCCAGAGTCTGGACATAACCCTCATATACTAGTTTACGGGGCCAGTTGGGCTACAGTTAATTACGTTATAGTTAGGTTGTAAGTGTTCCGAAGCTCCAAGCAGAGCCCTTGTGGAACTATTATCACTATCATAAGCCCGTATTTCCTCTTTCCCGCACCCTTATTATAACCCCAATTTACATGTGTGTATGAATACATACATATAAATAAACACACACATATATATATATATATATATATATGTATCTCTCTCTGTGCACATACATATATACATACATATATATATATATATATATACATAGAATCGACGCAGAGCCCAGGAGATCGAGGTGGAACGCGACACGAACGTTGCACGGCTTCAGAAGACGACGGTCTACAACTACTTCAACAAGCCACTGAGTCCAAATCAGCCTCTGTGCAGTAGAAGGGGTTGAAAGGGTTACTATAAGGGATCTATAGTAGGGTTCTAGAGGGCCTTGAGAATTGGAGTAGGGTCTAGGGGATTGAACAACTAGCAGAGTATCTCGCTGTAGTCCATCTACCTATAAACGCATGCCACACAACGCTAGTCGAATTTTGAAGGCCACTGCAGGCCCTACACAAAAGGGCAGTTGGGAATGGGAACTGTGTTCGGAGCTTCTAGCGGGGCTTCACTTCAGCCTGCAACCCTGAGCGCCAAAAGTAAGCCGAGACCGTGAAGCCACAGAAAACGGTAGAACCTCACAGAACATAAGACATGAGACCGAGACCCAACCGCATCCATATCTCTATCTATGTTTGTTTCTATCCCTATGTAGGTTTCGTCTGTTCCCTGTCTCTCTCCCTCACAACCAGCCAATCCACCAATCGGTCACCCTGCCGACCAATCAACCCATCCATCTATGCATCTTTCCACCGTCCTAGCTGCCTGCACATGCGTGTACTTTGTACATGCATGCATGCACATGTACATATGCACCTAAATACATGCATTCATCCATGCCACCCTTGCACTCCTATTCCTGGCTCGCGGCTGTCAGGCCAGCGACCAGTGCTGTCGATGGAGACTATGCCGCTCATTTGCAACACATTTGCGCTTCCTGTTTGCAGCAGCCACCGCCAAGTTGGGAGATGTCCTTTTTTCAGACTAGGGGGATGGTATACCCTGTGCGATGGGGAAAGCAGGCGATGTGTCCCATAGGAAATCACAGCAATCGTCGTCGTTGAACTTTGGGTCCATCCACTTACATGCAGCAGCAGTACCTATACTTACTGTTGTCCTTTGCTGTATCTGCTACTATTGAACCATGTCTAAGTTTTCAGAGTTTGCTGCAGGGTGCTTGGAGGCCGTCCTTATAGGTCCTCGACCTTGGGTACCTTCGAGCGATGTTGTTGGGCCCTTTGGTTTTCCGTAGCTGCAGTGTTTCCTGGAATTGATGAGCCCTGAAGCCTTGCAAACAGGGATACAAGATCAGGATCTTCGGGGATGTTCTGTTTAAAAGGCTTTTGGTGGTAGGTTTAGGGGATGTGATATCAGGGCGCGAGATAGTGTAGCTTTAGAGATTCAGACTATGAGAGTGCTTCTTAAACCTAAGCCCGAAACCCACGAGACGCCGACCCTGAAACATGCTCCTTTGGGGCCACGCTGTGAGCTTGAAAGGGGACCAGCTTTGGGAGTGGAGAGATTTGGCTTGAAGGTCTGTGTTGACATGGGGTTATGAAAGAGCGGAGGAGCAGAGGCTTTGGGCAAAGAATCCCCGGGCTTACAGATTGTTGGGTGTTGGCTTCAGGTCTTCTTCCTGAAGATGCTCCTGCATGAACACACGGCTCAAGCAAGGAATGGTCAGCCTGCATCTGCAAGCTGCCTTTACTTACTTGACTTCTTGTGAGAAGCCAATCTTGCGCAGGCTGAGATGTCGGACGCAACCGCGACAGCGGAACAAGTCAGTGATGTGGTTCTGCACTTCGGGGTGGACTCCATGCCGGCCAATTCTGCTTTGCTGCGCCTGGCGTCTCCCGTGTTCAACCGCATGTTTACGAGTGGCATGAAGGAAGCGCAGCTGGGAAGCATCGAGGTGGATGTGGCTAGCAAGGAGGACTTCATCACCTTCTACAACTTGCTTGGACCGTGGGCATGGAGTACCGACAAGGTGAAAGAGGAGAACGTCGATTCGCTTCTCGCAATCAGCGACTACTACCAGGTCGAGATCATCAAACAAACCTGCGAGAATCTGCTGCTTGGTCTTCCTTCCACAGGCACCCGGCTCCTGCAAGCTAAGAAGCACGGCCTCCACAGACAGTACCATAGGTGCGTTGGTGATGTGGCTAAGTGGAGCACAAGGGAGGACTTGGAGGTGCTGCGCCAATCCGAGCCGGACATTCTTCTGGACGTGGCCCTCGGGAAACAAGATCTGTTGATCCAGTTCATGGGGATGAAGGATGAGATTGTCCGGTGCGATGCCCTCGTGGATGAGACTGGTCGTCGTCTCGGTCGGCACATTATGGCTTCGGACTCGCTCCAGGAATTGAAGGTCGCAATCAACATGATGCTCAGCCTGATCAAAAACATGGAGATTCGTCGCAAAGCTTCCCCTCCGAAAGTGTGTCCTCCACAAGTACAGGCTCCAGAAGCGCATCCCTTACAGCTATTACAGGCTGTTGTCCAGATGTTGTGCGGCTCGTCGCCGCGAGGATGCTGATGTACGCGGGCCTCAAGCTCGGAAATGCGCTGAGGTATTTGCAAAGGTTTTGACCGCACCAGGCTGTGCCGGAAGCGCGCCGCCTGGTCAGTGGATATTAGCAGGATCGCGCAGCAGTTTGTGAGAAGAGTTGACTCTCAGGGTAGCCTGCACCTGCTTTGTTCATCATTTCCGCAACTTTACTCATGATTTTGATGCTTTTGCCTTTAACGTACTGAAAACAGCACTTGGGACTACAATGCCATACTCAAGAGGTAATGAAGATGATGACCTCGACACCGTATGCAGGCAATAGTTCCAAAACCATGCAGTTATGTAATAAGAACCAGACCTCGGGCTAACGGTTAACCAGAAGGTTCAGCCAACCCCATAGCTACCATAGAGCCATATGGGTAGTTGTCAAAACTTCGGTCCCTTTTTGGGTATCCTAAATATTAGGTGCCGTATCATAATAGGGACCCAAAAAGAAACCCTAGTTTTGACAACCGTTCATATAGAGCCTTGAAGCTCGAAACAGCCCGAAGCACTAAACCCCCTCAGCAGAGGCCCAGAAAGTTTATAAGCCTTGATTCCTTGCAACAAGTCCTAATGCTATTCATGTACTACAAAGCACCGGGCCCTGAAACTCGAAGCCCTTTACCCAAAAACGACCCCTGAACCCAAAGCCCGAAAATTCAGGAGTCCTGACGCCGTAAGCATTCCAGGCCCTAGCCCCCCATCCAAATCCCAAATCCTAAGCCCAGAATGTTGCCGCCAAGGAGACATATTGGGCCACACCTTTGTCCACGTATGCGGCAGAGACCTGCTCTCAGTGATTTTTGAAGGGCCAACTCGCGTCACCGTCAGGTTTAGGGCTTGCCAGGCCTAGGGCTTAAAGGGAACTCCAGAAAGTTGGAATATGGTTTCAGGGTAGGATACCCTATAATTTACCATAAAGGGTTTAGGATAATCATATTCCAACTTTCTGGCTTTTACCTTAAGAGTTCAAGGGCTTATCCTTGGCTGAGGTTCCAGGCTTTTTGTCAAGGCTTTATTTGGACATTGGAAGATTGAGGACTTGAGGTGTTTAGGCTATCGGGTGTTTCGGTTGGAGAGGTTTTCGGGTTCAGGGGAGTGACCCCGGTTGAGGGTTTGGAGTTTAGGGTGGAGGGCCCGACACCCCTCTGACTCCTACAGACAATGGTGTTTGATTAGTATACATGTACAGCTTCAGATAACCCTGCTTGAACAATGTACTTCATGAGTCCCCATATGCCTGGTGAATTGATCAACCTGGCCGAGGTTTCAGCTCGACCTGGGCCAAAGCTACCTGGTGCAGGTATCACATGCCTGGTGGGATTCGCGGATGCTTACATAGTATTATATAGGGTTCTTTATGATGTTTAGACTATGAGTGAGGTGACCTTATGTATGTAAGATACAGGTTTTGATGTTGGTAAGGATTATTGCAGCCGCCTTTCGTTTGATAATGGCATTCGGCTTTCTGATCTGGCCAGGCTTGGGGGTTTCGATGTTTTCCGTTTCCACTGCTGCTGTTCGAAGATTGCTGGAAAGGGTGTCGTGTCTGCATTTGGAGGGGTTTTAAACATTTCAGCCTTTGAGGTAGACTTAAGCCGAACCCGAACACATCCCAACACCTATGTCGGTTTTCACTTAACCTCCGAGCAGGCCACGAAGCTTGCCTGGCGCTTCAAGCCTCGGTCGGTGCACCCTCTGAAACTAGGGGTATTAGGCTGGGGGTTCAGGGGTTCTGGCGTTCAGGGGTTTACGTTTGAGGGGTTGAACTGGTTTCTGCGTGTTTGTCTTGTCTGTGTGTAGGGGTTTACCGGGCTTTTTGTTTTTAGGGTTTCATATGCTAGGGCTGCAAAATTACATGTTAAATCAAGCGTCCGAATGGTGGGTGTGCAGTTAACACATCCAGAACCTGAAAAGCGCTGCTAAAGCCCTGAATCCGGAATTCCCTCGCTTACCAGGCCCTGAAACTCCCGAGCCTCACATGAGGTCGGTACTCCTATCAAAGCTCCTCGCACAAACATGTCCCAAGCCTCTTGTGAGGGTTTTCTGTGTCATATGAGAACCTTGCAACATCCACTGGCTATGACCTTCCACTGCTGGGTTTCGTAGGGTCACAAAAATTCCGACCTCCTTCGCAGTCAAAGCCTAAACCCCAAAACCCTACAGCCCGAAGCCCAAACGCCAACATGGGCACATAGCAACCCTACTTAAATGCCCAAGACTCATACGAGGTCAACCGTAAAGCCTTGTGTATGCCGTCTATTATCCCCAACCCAGTTAGTGAGGGGTCTCCTAGCGGCTAGCCTTCCTGAACCTCTCTGCAAAACACAAAACCCTCATAAACCACTCGTTATACAACTTTGATTGAGGATAAAACACCTTGATTACCACCTTTTTAGAAACCAGCGCTCCCCAAAAACGAAAACATACTCCCCAAGGCCCAAAAGTCCCAACCCTCAAAGACTCCTTTGAGGTCAAGGTCTACGTGGGTCCGAATCCCTGCAGCCAGGGCCTCTGTATTTGGTTGTACAGTTCGCAATGGTTTTGCATGTAGTTTTGGGGTTTGGAGTTCATAATATGTTAATATGAATGGGTTTGCAGTGTGTTGCAGTCCGTTTATAGCGCGTTAGAGTCTTTTGCAGTTCGAGCAAGGGCTCCTTTGAGCTTTATGTCAAATCGGGTTTGATTTTGAAGGGTTGTTCATGTGTGCCAAGAAGGTCCTGACTCTGAGGCATGAGTGTGTGTGTGTGTGTTGAAGGTGCTACTATGGTGGCACCATCATTAAAAAATAAAACCCTACTTCATCTGGGTCTTCACAGCGGTGTAGAGGGTCCTGATACACCGGCGCACCTCATTTAAGCGGTCCTTGTAAATGAGGATCCTGTTCCTGTTCGGCATACTTACAGAGCCATGGGTTTAGGGCGCATGGGCTTGAACGGGTCGGGCAGGGATGAAGTTTTGGTTTGCACTTATGAGTATGGTTCTAAGTAATGAAGCTAGGAACTCCTCAAGACCGACCCTGCTTGCAGGTTCGGGTTGCTTATAACCCAGTTCTACCGGTACTGTATACCGTTGACTATGTAATTCGGTCTCATAGTTCTCACCAACACTAAGCTCAGTTGGGCGTCTGGGTGGGGTCTACTCGCAGAGTGGGATGTTCCGAAGATCGGTCGACGGAGTATTCGTGTTGAGGGTTTCGTGTGGCTTTCTTGAATAAAGATATTTCCGAGCCATTGGAATCCAACTGCTATTACTTGTTATACTCAGACTCCGGCATTTCCCCTATAGGACCCCGAGTCAAAACAGAAACAGGAAGAGCCCCGTTCGTCGAGGATCAGACGCCGAGAAGCGTAGATCTTGACTAGATTGAGGGCACCACACCCATTAAGACTGAGCCTTTGACAGAGCGCGTGTATGTAAGCATTGCACGTGCCTCGCCCAAACTTCACAAAGTATGGCCGTTGGGCACAAAAGCCTCAAGAATATGCGTCCTTCGAGCCACCGGGGTTGCTGTGAGGCGACGGAAGGCCGGAGCAGCTCTACCTCAGCATCACAGCAGCTCTGGTCCTCGATGAGTTCGAGCTCACGAACAACTGGGAAGGTGCCTGTTTGTGGTTTAGGGTTTGTGGTTCGGGATTTAGAGTTTGGTGTTCAGGGTTTAGAGCTTGGGGTTTAGGGTTTAGGATTTAGAATTTGGGGTCTGCTTTTTAGCGTTGGTTTTATGGGTTTGGAGTTTTGGGGTTTTGGGTTTTGTGCTTGAGAGGTTCAAGTTTCACGATTGCGGGGAATTGGTTTGGGCTTCGGGTTTTGGGATTCAACTCGTTTGCCTGTCGTTTTTCTCTCAGATTCGCCTATGGTCGGATCCCAGTGCTTGCGAATATAATCCATGCCCATATTCAGAAGGCGACTGGGGCTTCTTCAAACCGGGGTCGAGGTGCGGAATGGGGTGGGGGGCGGGGGCCGGGTTGGGGGCTTGGCTTCTAGTTGCGGTATTGTCTGAAGCTGCCCAAAGAACTTGGTGTCGTATTTTTGTTGCCTCCGGTTGGATGCTCTTAGAGAATGTGAAGGCCTCTACGTGCAATTTGCAAGGATGGGGTGGTTGTTCCGGCCCTAAAGCCCATAATCCTGAGTTAGTGAGATTTTTAATAAACCACAAGACCCATATAAGCTTAACCACAGCACCGTAATGCAAAGGACAGCGGAACTATAAGTTTGTACTTAAAAGATGAGTAAGCTAAGTCCCAAGTCACAGGGCGCTGCTTCGTGGTGCTCATCGAGGAGACGCAGCTTCGTGGTGCGTTGTCTCCATCAGGTCCTGGCTGACTTTGTATTTCGGACTCTTAGGCAAGGGAGTGTAATGAAGCAATGTACCTCAACTCACCCTAAACCCTCAACCCTAAACCCAATTTACAGATAATGGATGGATCCTTAGGAAGAGTTAGCATATCTTGCTTAGCAAATGGGTCTTTGAGCGTCTTGAGGGCTTCTGTCGTTTTTATATTCTCCAGTACAGTTCCTTTGTTCATGGTTTGTGTTTACTGTTTACGTTAAGGGTTCCAGAAGCAAAGCGAAAAGGAGTTCCACAACATCGTGAATCATGAACCATATGTGTAGTCCTGATACGATGCCATTGCAAGGGTCCCACATGTCTCAGTCTGTTCATGTTGGAGGAGACGCTCGCCTACTTCGGCGAACACTACGTCGGCATCCGCGAGATTGCCGCTTGCTTTAAGTCGATGTTCCGGTGGACCTGGTTTAGGATTTAGGATGTATATATGCATATACATGTAGAGATAGACAGGTAGGTGGATCGATAGCTAGGTTTGTATGTATGTATGTATACATATACATATCTGTATGTATGTATATACAGGCTGAGTTAAGAGCATCATTACGAAGCTTAGGCATCTGGGCTTGAAGGCCGGGTTTGGGCGTCTAGGTGCTTATGATTCGGGATGTGGCTTGTAAACCCTTAACCGTAACCC